TGTTTTTTTTCAAACACTGCACGTATTAATATGCTATATTGCTTTCTCTTAATGAGAATGTTCGTAAAAAACCAATTAACGAAATATCAAGCTTAAAAAAAACATATCGTTTGTCTCATGTTCAGCTTAATATATTAAAATTTGCTAGCGATAACCTATAGAGCATATGCTGTCCTCAATGAATATCTACCGATACCCACACAGAAATGATCGAATATAAAATGGCCATATCAGGCGGAGAAGCATGATTTTATCAAACCATGATAGCTTTAGTTGCAGAACGCTCAACTTTCGCTAACGGAATTCTCTCGTCCCTTTCTGTCTTGGGTTCACTCTCGAGCGCCAGTAGCAGTTGCACGGTGGCTAGTAATTTCGGCATTTGGATATTGCCAAGGAAGACAAAGGCGGATGGAATGACCCGTTCTGGCTCGAGAGCCGTCACTGATCAGTCATATCCAACTGCAGGTGATGCACCACCCGAGGCTCGAATCCGCGACTTATTAAGCAGAAGTCTAAGGCTTTAACCATTGAGTCACAGGTTCGTTGTCTTGCCGGTTTAGATCGGAAATAGCGAGGTTCATTAATGAACGTCTAACCAACTTCTAATGGAACTCTTTCAACCCGTTCTGTCTTAAGGCTCACTCCTAAGCACTTCCATCGGCCACAGAGCTGCTATTAGTGTAGATAGATGAAAAATTGGCCTGTTAAATGCATTCTGTTTCATAATAACTTTAGCAAAGACATGGCATTTCGCTAAATTCCAGGATAATATCTAGTCAGGCTAACGTGCAGATTTGCTCTGTTTCATTTTGTGAACTGCGTAGCACAATCATAATTGGGTTTATCTAGATAGAATATATATTACTCCAGCCTTAATGGAAAAAAATCATCCAAGATTTATTTAAAATTTAACGTCGAATAGTATCAAAAGCTTAATTAATTTTTGGTTTGAGAATAGCGTAGGATTTTAATGTTTCGTTTTCTATACGCTAGACTTAAGACATATGAAGACTGCAAGCGCAGCTGATATGGTCTTTCTGAAAAAAATGTACGTGATAGTTTTCATATTGACGGACCCATGGGCGTTTTATTGAAATGGCATAAAAAAGAAACTTCGAAAAAGCTATGGATAGAAAAACACAGTGGACAGTTCTAGCTGGCTGTTTGCAGTAACCAATGTAGTCAATAAAAAAAGTGCGTACTGTCCTTAAGTTTTTTAAAATAATAGATACGTCTGAGATACCACGGGATTACTTTGGACATGAAAGGCTGACCATTCAGCAGCAGTGAGTAGTAATTATGCCAGTGCTCATATCGTGGTTCATTCGAGGGGAGTTAGCCACACTTTGACGGTGGGCAATACCGAAGTGGTTGTAAGGTGGGATAACAGCGTGAGCCGCGAGCTGCTTCGCGAAAACACAACCCATTAGCGAGGGCAGTTTCTTCTCACTTCGATATAAGTTGTTAAGTCTTTGCTCGAGTAGAGAAAGGAGTCACGTAGGAAGTCGCGAGCGACGAACGCTTTAATCGACAATGAGGCCAGTCGAATGGAAATTACTATACTACTTATCATGACCGTGCTGCGGCCTTTGTAATTAAGGACTCGGAGACGCACATTAAGCTGCTATTTATAGTAGACAGTTGTGTTTTCAAAACAAACATTATTTTTGCTCCCAACACCCTTATCTACGCTGCCAGCAAACATGATACATTTAGTGCTGCTTGAATATATTTCTGTAGATGTAAAAGAACCGCTGCATTATCTATGAGCAGAAAGAGGCTTGCATGACAAGTGAAATATATGAATTACATGTGAGTTTAGACAAAGGCAGTAACCTATAGCAGGAACATAGACGAGGGGTGTAGAACACGTTTCTCGTTTCAATCTTACTTAATTCCCATTTCGTGATTTAGTATAGCTGACTTGAATTTAAGTACATATAAATGATTAGTTGATTAAGGACAGCCTTATATGCTCCGTACACATGATTTCTTGGACATTAAATGTTTTGTTTTAATTTAAAAGCATATACCTAGCACTCAAAAATAAAATGACGGGGATAGAATCAAACACCTTTTAAAGAGGATGCATTAAACTGTGCACAAGGAGTTATTTAAATTACTTTGGCCCACAGCCATAAAATATGTCAAGTGACTAGTATAATTTTGTTCATATAATTTTTGGCATTATGATAAACATCTCTACACAAAGAAAGTCTTGAATACATCATTGACCTCCCTAATGCATTGAATATATCTCCCAATAAAATTAGGTAGGATGGAAAGTGAGCAACGAAAAGGGAAAGTTTGTCAGATGACGTTTAGCACTGATATCGTAGAGACTTATAATAAAAAGGCCAAAATAATATCGCATATATTATGCTTGGCATTTCTTGCTGACAAGCGTTGAATTCTATAATTTGTACAAGATGATGATGAATCACGTAAACACAGCTACCTATGAGAATTACTATTATATTCTTAAAAAAATACACGAAGGTTCCTTGGTTAGAATGCTTTTTCCAGTATTGCTCAGTATCAGAAAAATCAAAAAGCTCCCATGGCCATGAGCACCAGATTACTTTCTGACTTGTGCAATGAATGAAAGAAGCTGGTATATGTACATCTTTACCGTCAGCTTTTAGCACGAACGTACTGCCTACTGGTCGGATGACTATTTTTATATGCTTTATAATGGTTAACGTGAATTAATAAAAAACAGAAAAAAATGGTTAATAAGGTGTTGGGTGTATGTTTTGAAATGACTTCAAGAATATTAACTCATGTCTAAAAATGTATGTGTATCAAATTATACTTTTTAAAGTATTCACGTTTCTTGTAAATAGAGTCACGTAAGCAATTTAATTTGACATTCTCAAACAGCAAACATAACTATGTTTTTGAAAATAATAAATTAACCGTAGATCTGATAATTTGGAAGTATAGTTGGCGAGCGTACGTAGGCTTTCGCGAGACAATATCTACTTCGCGAGAACGGGTATCCTGAGAGATTTATTACAAGAACTATACCTGCGAAACAAATAAAACCCACCACACTTACTGTGGAAGAGAAAACGCCATTCCTTAAACTACCGTTTTGAGTGGACGAAACAAGTAAACTCTTCAAAAAGACGTCTTGACCAAGCCGTGTCAAGAATTTTCCCAAAAGCGAGAATTCGAATATTATTCTCAATCAACCCAGTCTTAAATGGGGGAGGTAAGGATGGATTGCCAGCTCAGACCACCTACATGTGCATCTACACGTTTACTTGCTCCTGTGGAGCAGGCTACTTTTGTCGCACGAGTCGGCGCCTATCCAAAAGCATAAAGTAACACCTGCGTGTACGGCTGAGAAAAGATGAAATCAGGAGCATAAACAGCCCTATTCTGGCGCGCAAAGTTGATCCCGGACACCGTGTGTACCACAACGAAGCCTTCCGCGTGAGTTATAAAGTACCACGAAACTATCCACAGTCCCAGGATCAGCACCTGCTAGCAACAGCGGAAGAGAATGCTCTCAGATTAATGAAGCCGGCGTCGAATGTACAAAAGAAGCTTTCACAAGCTCCGCGTCTGGCGTGGCCTACAGTCACTTAGGGGCATGCCCTCATCCGCGCTTTGTTTTTCTCCCTTCCCGCCCCGTTCCTCCATCCCCGCCCCGAGGCTAGCTACACCAAACCCCGTTCTCATAACCAGCCTTTTCTCATCGACCCCTCCCCACCTCTTCCCACGACTCACTTTACGAAAGGAGGAACATTTTTGACTTGTACCTTGTTCCCATATAAATGTACTGGCCCGACGGGAATGTATTGAAAGCCCACGTACGCTCGCAAATTCTCTTCTGAATTAACTTAGATGTACTTAAATATAGCTCCATGTGTTTATAGACGTTACTCTCGAAAATCTGTTAGTTTTTATATTGAATATCGCCAGCACAAAGACTCCAAACGATTAGGTATTTTATAGTATTTATTAAAATATAAAGCATCTTCCATATTTTCTAAGAATTACTGTGTTCGTAGGTGGTGACGAAATGACATAGAAATCCAATGCCTCGTGGAAAACCCTTCATTGACATTATGGGTCCGAATGGCAGCTCAGTGGCCTTCTGAATTTCAATCGTCGAATTTTTTTATTTTAAGTAGTAGGGGTAGATTATTTAAATAATATATTTGACATAATTGTTAAAAACTGCATAGTGTATCATTCAGAAAGTTATCGGGAAGGTGACTTGCAAAAAGAGTTTCTAAGTTCAGTTTTTATTGGCGCTTTTGGCGTTACTTCGCATTGAATAAATGCAATTTAAACCCCTTATTCATTCTTTTACGAGTTAATGGTCCTCCGTTCTGCTGTTTTCATCTCCCGCAAAATATAAAATAATTTGATGATTACTAAAGGGGACAACTGGTTGCTTTGCTTTTTTATTGTGTATTTGACTTTTGAAGTCTTCGCTGAGCAATGTTTTTCATTTTTGGGCTATCCAGTAAACTGGTATTCTTTGGGGCTTGCGAACTGTTGCATCCTTTACATCACCTCAAGACCACATGCTGTTGCACGTTTTACATATTGAGCGTTTTATGATATACGCTGTATGTAGCAAATACTAGTTTCGAAAAGAAAACCGCAAACGTTGCAGTAAAACTACAAAACTTCATTCTCGAATATATTATCATAATATGCATACGAATATGTTGACAGAGTTTTCGAATTTTAGCCAAATTTATACATCGACCTTATAGTGCAAAACGAAACAAGTATTTCTTTGCTATAATAAAACACAGATATTTTTATTACCTATGAGCGCTAAGGATAGGTTTAAGTTAAATATCTGTCTTTTACATGTGTGACCTTTAATATATAAGATCATTTCCTCTTTACTTCACGTCATTGTTGCGATGAAATTTGACTATGGCCTTTATAGGAACGCATCAACCTAGAAAACATTAATGTTACCTATTCAATAACTGAATTCCTTGATGGATCAACTTTAACCTTTAAGAATGGACTTCGACAACCGGGTTATTTTAAATGTCGGTGGAATTCGCCACGAAACCTACAAAGCAACACTAAAGAAGATACCTGCTACGCGCCTGTCCCGTCTAACTGAGGCCCTAGCCAACTACGATCCAATTCTTAATGAATACTTCTTTGATAGACATCCTGGTGTCTTTGCTCAAATACTCAATTACTACCGGACGGGAAAACTGCATTATCCTACGGACGTTTGCGGTCCACTTTTTGAGGAAGAACTGGAGTTTTGGGGCTTAGACTCAAACCAGGTAAGCGAATACGTGAAGCATATTTGGCCTTTAGGCCACATAGGGTCTGTAGTGAGGATATAAAACCTAATAGACCTAGCATTGACTCTAATGCTCCGCATCGCGATTAAATGAATAGGTAAACTGTGTTAACTTACTATTTATTGAAATTGAATCTTTGATGGAAGAATATGCGTTTTTAACATCATTCCCTATTCGCTTTTTGAAAGTTTAAATAATTTGATAAAATGTCATTATGCGATCGTCTAGCTTCGGCATCGATTACATATTAGATTTTTAAATATAAATGGGCTCTGAGCAGGAGTAACAATGTTTACTTACTAAGGTGGATAATTTTATGGATATGTTAGGATCGAGATGCAATAAAAGCGGAAACCCCGAGGTGGAGGTAAGGTTATGCCCAAAATTGATTCAAAAAACCTTTCCCACAGTGTAGTTCGCCATTTTTATAATTTTAAAATATATGGTCATTCATTATGTTTTCCCCGAATTTTAAAACAGTGCAAACCGCTTTGTACAAAAGAAAATCATGTAATCATCCCATTAGTTGTTTTAATATATATATATATTAACATAGGTGAAGATACGAGGTCCAGATAAATTAT